TGCACACCCTTTGATAATGTTTCCCTATAATTATAATAATGCACATCCTTTGATATTGTTTCTCATATAAGACCATCTCCAATTGTTCATTAAATAGATCATCAAATTTAAGCTCCAACCATTCATCAAATAGATCATCAAATTTAGGATTTTTTCAAATCTTTCATCAATCAAATTGAGGACGGATGTGCCTTTCATCTAATTGTTGTTCATTGTCATTGGATTTTCATCATCAGATGTCTCCTGAATGATCACCTCAAGGTAAAAAATTGTGAAAAATTTACACTGGCCGGTTGATCGACCGGACATCCTCTCGGTTGACTGATAATTTGATGAAACTCCGTTAAAGCACTTAATATCAAAGAAAACTTTTAATCAAATTCTTATTCAAATTTAATGACATAAGAGATAAAACATTGGAGATGCGCTAATTAGGGGTGGGCACGAGTCGGTTGTGGCCACGGAACCTCCAATCTGCCATCCGTCCGCCAGATTGGGGGATTAGAGAAAATCAATCCGCATCCGTTCGCCAATTCGGCTGATGTGGATTGAGCGGATTGGCGGTTTGGCGGATGGATGCAAATCGGTTTGGCTGTTTAAAATTTTATAAATTTTCAACATAATTTAACTTGTGCACTTCCTCAAAAAAAGAAGAAGAAAGTATTATAGTTAATGACTTAAAATTTTTTTACAATCATTGCATGTCTCATCAAAAGTAAGAAAGTTTGAAACTTTAGAATATCACAATTACTGCATGTCTCATCCACATACTACAAGCACAACATGCCTCATCCACATAGGTCATGTTTGTTTGGGTGGACATGAGCTTGGGATTGGACTAATAGTCCAATAAAATTATTAATCCGATATTTGGTTAAACAATTGAAGTACGAACTAATTATTTTAAACTTGACTATTAGTTAAGATAGGATACATAATCCAACGGATTCGTAGTCCTAGGACTATTAGTCTTGGGAATGCTAATCCAGTCCGCCCAAACAAACATGACCATAAAGTATTACAATCTGTGGTTCTTAAAATATAAAAAACAATTCAAACCACCAAAATCATGAACAGAGCACTAGTAGAGATTGTATGTCTCTGTATTGTTACATCTATATCTATTTTTGAAAAGAAAAACCAACCAACATATATCATACTTTCTATTTATTATTTTTAGAGATAGATTTAAAAACCAAAAAATATAGATAAATAATAAGTTTATTTTTTTCAATTCAAAAAAGATATTCAAGTTGAATTTTTTTTTTAACAGAATATTTAAACTCTTTTTTAATTGAAAATACAAACAAAATATTTAAACAAACTGAAAACACAAAGTCTTATAAATTACTAGGGGTGTTCGCGGTTTGGCGGTTCGGTTGCGGCTCGGTTGCGGCCAAAGAAATCTCAAATCCGCCATCCGTCCGCCAGATTGGCGGATTGGAGAAAATCAATCCGCAACCGTCCAAAATGCGGCGGATCGGTTTGGGTCGGTCGTTTTTGGCAGATCGATATATCCGCTGCTCACCCCTAGCGCTAATTATAATCAACTTATGAGATTTATATGATCAAACTTATTTGTTTTCAAAGAAGTATACGAGAGTGTTTGGGAAATTGCTATTTTAGTAATCTATTTTAATTTTTGACTATTTTAATAGTCTAAAATTTATGTGTTTGAAAAGATGATAGGATTTTTTTATAGTTAGATAAGATGTTTATGAAAGAAAAAATAAAATGATTATGAATTTAATATAACATTTTATCTTATTAATTATTTTAACATATTTTAACTATTTTTTTAATGAATTTTAACCTAAAATAAGCTACCCCCAATTTATACTTGTGCAAAGAGAATGCTGTGGCAGTTGCCTCGGACCAAAGCTTTTTCTTCATCCTCCAACGGCCACAGTTCTGGTTCAGCGCAGCAGAAAGCATATCAAACAAATATCCAGCTCCGAACTCCGACCAGTGAATGAAATGCTCTCACCAACATACACTATCTCTCCCCAAATCACTCTGTTTCAACCTCCTCATCTTTACCATATTCAACTACCCAAACCATCAACACCCAGGAAAAACTTCAAAACAACGAAGAATTGTGATCAAAAGTACATCCAAAACCCATCATTAACAACCCATTTACCCAATGTTTCAATCTCCCAAGAAAACCCGGGTTCTGCTTTCTTGGACAATTCGTCGAGCACTCAATTGGGGGACTCCAATGTGCTTGCTTCTCAGCTTCAGGCTTGTTGTACTGTAAAAGAAGTTAGAAAGTTGCATGCGATTGCTATAAAGTGTTTGAAGAGCTCAGGCACGTTTGTTGATAATAATTTGATTAGTTCCTATGCGAGATTTGGTGATTTAGTTGAAGCGCGTAAGGTGTTTGATGAAATGTCTATAAGGAATGTTGTTTCTTGGACTGCTATTCTTAATGGATATTTGAGATCTGAGTTAGATGATGAAGCCTTGTTGTTTTTCAGGGAATTTATTGAGAGTGGAGTTCGGGCGAACTGTGAGACTTTTGTGTGTGTATTAAATCTATGTAGTAGGAGTTAGATTATGAGCTTGGGAAACAAATTCATGCCTGTATAATAAAAGATAATTGTAGTAATTTAGTTGTAGATAGTTCCATTGTTTATCTTTATGCCAAATGTGGTGACCTGGTTGGTGCATTTCGTGTATTTGATCGGATGCCGAATCATGATGTTGTCAGTTGGACAACAATCATCACTGCTTGCTCACAACTTGGGTGGGGTGAGGATGCTTTTTTGTTGTTCTCACGGATGCTATTAGAAGGATTTGCCCCTAATGAGTTTACAGTTTGTAGTGTTTCGAATGCTTGTGGAGATGAGGAGGAATTGAAGTTTGGGAGACAATTACACGGGACCATAGTTAAGAAGATATTTAAAAATGATGTGTTTATAGGGACGTCGTTAGTGGATATGTATGCAAAATGTGGGGAGATTGCTGACTCTACGGAAGTGTTTGATGGAATGAGGAGGAGAAACACGGTTACATGGACTTCCATTATAGCAGGGCTTGCTCGGAATGGACTTGGTGAGGAGGCCATAAGTCTCTTTCGGATAATGAAAAGACGTAACATATATGTTAACAACTTAACCATGGTAAGCATCCTCAGGGCATACGGCTCAGTTGGAGGTCTACTGTTGGGAAAAGAAGTTCATGCTCAATTTCAAGAATTATACTCAAAGCAATATTTATGTAGGAAGCACTCTTGTGTAGCTCTATTGCAAATGCAAGGAGTACTCTCTTGCATCCAAGGTCCTCCAAGAAATGCCTTTTAGAGATGTTGTCTCGTGGACTGCCATGATTTCTGTTTGTGCTGGTCTTGGGCATGAGCCTGAGGCTCTTGAATTTTTGAAAGAAATGCTAGGTGAAGGTGTCGAGCCAAACCCTTTTACCTATTCATCTGCTTTGAAAGCTTGTGCTAGATTAGAAAATATACAGCAAGGGAGATTGATTCACTCCTCTCTAAACAAGACCCCAGCTTTCTCTAATGTGTATGTGGGCAGCGCGTTAGTTTTTATGTATGCAAATTGTGGGTATATTTCAGAGGCATTTCAAGTTTTTGATAGCATGACAGAACGGAATTTGGTTTCTTGGAAGTCTATGATTGTGGGTTATGCAAAGAATGGGCTACGCCGAGAGGCTTTGAAGCTTATGTATCGAATGCAAGCAGAAGGCATTGAGGTGGATGATTACATACTTGCAACAGTTCTTACTGCATGTGGAGATGTTGACTGGGATATGGAGCATTCACCTGAGCATTGCTTGCAGTCAATTTGATCTATCATCCTAACAAAATTCCAGTTTCAGTTTCAAACTCTAAATGACATCATTGATGACTGACCAGATCAAGATCTACTCACTAAATTGTGGAATATAGATCAAATATTGCCGTGAAAAATAGAACACTGAATCTATAGGAGAAGCTGTGCCCTTAATAATTAGGCGTCGTTTGGCAATAGGCTATTTTAGCCAATTAGCCAAAAAGTTACTAAATTAGCCAAAAAGCCAACAACCTATATCAAAAAGTCAAAGATTCTCTTTTCTCTCTACTTTTTGCACATCTTTTCGTAATGAGAGGGTGATTTATGCTCCGGCGTTGGGCCGAGGTATAAACCGAACAGGTTGGGGGCCCAGCAGAGCAGTGGGCCGAGATGATCGACTGTTCACCCGGAGATGGGCTACCAGAACTTGGGCCGGGCAGAGTTTGGACTATGTGCTGCCCCGAACCGTGCAGAAGGTGCTCGGCCAGGAAGTGACCGGTCAGATCAGGATGCTCGGTCTGAGGATTGTCGAGATCAGACAGACCGAGAGGCCGACGCTCGGAAAGGCGCGGTCAGCCGAGGTAGTTGACTGACCGGCAAGAAGACCGACCAAAGGAGGATCCCGGGCTAAGCTTTGCCGAGATGCCGCCTAGCCCGGTCCTTCATTCGGTTATCCGGTCGGGCGCTTAAGGTATGAAGCATGGTATGACCGAGGTAGGGGCAGCTCGGCTGCCGAGCTCCAGCTATGCTGGCAGGCAGTTGAGAGCAGGTGATGAACGGCATGGTTTAAGCTGACAGATGGGATAGCAGAGCAACGTGTCAGGAGATGACAGGGAGTGGATATGGGGCACAGAAGGTATATAAGCCTGTCTGCGCCCCCCATACGAGACAGATGAACACTCTGTAAGAAAATCCTTACACTAAAACACTCTCTCCCTTCTCTCTATTCCCTCTAAGGTGTGTGCTAACTTGACCGTCGGAGGGTTTTTCCGGCCACACACCGCCGGGTAGCTCATCCTTATTGACTCGCAGGTGATCGGACATCGACGGAGCTCGGAAGAAAGGAATACGGGCACGCCGGAATATCTGCTCCCCGTACACGTAATTAGTCAAAAAGTCATCCCAAACATACAAGTTTTTTTTACCTACCTTTTTAGCCAAATAGCCAAAAAGTTACTAAATTAGCCTGTTCCCAAACGAGGCCCTAGTATAAGTGTCTCCCTGGTCCAGAGATTTTGTGAGATTTTAGCTTATCTAATTACATTGGCCAAGCCCCCTTCCTACGAGAAGGAAGACAAAAAGAGAACATGTTAGTTCAGTTCTCCTCATTCATTGCGGTGATCTGTTCAACATTGCTTTTTGAGAATCTTGTGACATGACAAACCTTCAGGATTTTGAATGCCGAAGTCACTTGTAACATGGAGATCGGTATATAGTCATGTTAATGTATTATCATTGAAATATTTATCACATTAAAATTTTGTCCAGAAATAAGTATTGCACTTATGGGAAATAGATCTAGATCTGCTTCCTTTTATGTTGAGTTGTACTTATGATACAAATTATCTTATTAAATTATTTCTTAACCCCGTCTCATTTCATCCTTCACAGATATTTGATACCTTTTGAGAAGAAGTCTCTGCAGAACACTGATTATCCAGTTTAGCTGCATTTTGGATGCTCAGGTTTGCGTCTTTGTTTTTTTATAAAAACTTCATTTCATCACTGTAGTACGAGAGATCAAATGACATAAGACAACGTAGAGCACCCGTAATAGAGTTAACCCCATAGGTTGGAACCTGCTGACAGACGGAACACAATAGTGCTTAACAAGTACAAAAACAATACAAACATACACAGATGTGAACTCAAAAAAGCCGGAGTTGTTATAGAACAAACCTTAGTAGCAACTTGAGTGCACGTGTTTCCATGCTAACCTTTGCCTGTATAGAGATCACCAACAAACAGCAGTGGCAATATCATCCTCAGTTGTGAATATCTCATACCGTTTACCTTTGCCTGAATGTTTCTCAGTTGAAAATGTGATTGACGTATAGCACAGATTTGATAACAACACGTTTGTTCTTTGGTTTCATATGTAATCTCTGTTTGGAGGGGGAACTTATTGTTACAATATGCACTAGTTATTTATTTATATCCTTTGTGAGCACTTGAATTCATACTCTTGGGTAGTGAATGATACATAAACGAGAAGAAAATGATTAGCAGCTGAAATTCATCTCTTTCAAGAGTGACAATTGATTATGTTGATGGGATAAAACTTGGACAAAGTATTTGTTTTTGCTGAAAGAATTTTTCTTTGCGATCAACATATGAATTTCATTATGTCTAAGATGCTTAGGCCTTGGATCCTGTTTTGTTGGATAACAATGATGAGATAGATGACATCCAAAACCATTCTGCCTAGTTTAGTTTTGTTTTGTTTTTTGTTTTTTTGTTTTAAAGGCAATTGATTATGGCTCCTAGTTGACAGACGACAGACTGAATGGTAATTTAGGACAAGGGATCAATGGATCAAAGAGTATGCCTTGGTTCTACATGGATAAATCTCACACTTGGAATTGGATCGATACAACCAAGAAATTTACCCTCAAGCACAGATGTTTACAAATACATAGTAATGCTACAAACACAAAATTTTCATAGAAATTTATACATAATTCAGCAATGTTAGCACTGCATTTGTTCTCGTCGTGTGGGGGCCAAGCCAACTAATACTACAAACACATAAAGCCTTGTGCTTTGCTAGCCAAAGTCATTGACTTATTTGACCTATAATATTGAGGAAAATGTTATGACTATCCAAAAAGCTTTTATTAATTTCGATTGTCGTGTAAATATATATCTAAAATATTTGAAAATGTAAAAAATATGTGAAATTGTTGACATTTTTCTCTTTTCGTTGAAGTTTATTGACCTGTTTATTGGCAAAACACCACCCTGTGATACATCTTTTATTTTCCCCATATGGTTGTGATCCTCCTGCTATTATTATAGATCTTGTTTAGGTATAAGTAACCCTTGTGAAAATGAGAGACCCGTGGGGTCTGAATTGTGAGACTTGTGAGTTGTGACCTTGAACTAGTCATAGAAAAGTAGAAATGGAGAGAAAATTCATGAGATCTGTACATGCCTCCATGTGACTTCACCAGATAATCCAAAGCACTTTTTTGTTCAGCCTTGGAAACTAGTCCCATGGATGGCACTTTTTTTTCTTTTTTCTTTTTTTTTCACCAAGAAAAAAGAAAAAAAAAAAGAAAAAGAAAAATAAAGACATACGTTGCATATGGTCTCTAAAATTTTTAAATGGGTCATCTAAATTATTAATAAAATATACTTATAATCCGCAAAGTTTGTGGTCCGCATCATTTTAATCTTAAATTTATTATTATTATTTTTTAATTTTGCTATATTTTAGGCACCATGGGTGAATTTTAATGTTATTTACAAGACATTTGAAATTGGTTTAATTCAACTCAATTATAAATTTTATGATCATAGGTGTATTTATGTCATACAAAAATAAACTACATAAAACTATAATAAAAAAAAGAATGTACACATCAACACGATAGATTATAAAATCAATTAGAATACCAGCAAATGAAGATACCTCTAGTGAACTTAATCATGCAGTATATTATTCTTGGTAATTTTCTATTATTTAGTTTTGTACGTGTAAACTTGCAATTTTCTTTACAAAGAGGAAAAAAAATTACAGCCCAGCTCAACAAATTCTGCTCACACATAATCCAAACAATAACGTTATAATAATCATAAATTTTTTATTATTTTAAAATCAATTAGAATACCAGCAAATGAAGATACCTCTAGTGAACTTAATCATGCAGTATATTATTCTTGGTAATTTTCTATTATTTAGTTTTGTACATGTAAACTTGCAATTTTCTTTACAAAGAGGAAAAAAATTACAGCCCCAGCTCAACAAATTCTGCTCACACATAATCCACACGATAACGTTATACAGCACCGCTACATACCCCCAGTGGGGGTCGCACCCCCACTGGCCGAAACTCAAAATAAAATAAAATAAAATAAAACAGTTTTTTTTTTTACCCAATCAGCACCTGCCACCTCACTGGGGTCGACCCACAGTGGGGTCCGAAGCATTAATCTAACGTTATAATAATCATAAATTTTTTATTATTTTATGTGTCCTAAATTGTGAGTAGATTTGGAACTTTAGTTCTGCCTATTCTATGTTATTATAAAATTATTAATTTTGGATAGGCTTAGATTGAGTAGCCACCAACTCTGACTATTATATTGCATAATATAAATTTATACGGTGAAGATGGTGCAAGGTATGTGGCAAATATTATCTATGCAGATTTCCTAACATCACTAATAAGAAGTAAAATATAAATAAAAGTTCATGGTAATCTCATATTGCAAGAAATTCAAGATTTTTTTGAGACACTAGCACAAGTTAACATATATAATTCATATGTTAAATTAAAATAAAATTAACTTTTAACTTAAATTTCAATTTATGATGCAGAATGAGAAGCTGAAAGGAGAGAAACTAAAAAGTCCCCATCTTAAGCCTTGTTTGACAACAAGCCGGTTTAGCCAAAAAGTTAAAAAGTTACTAAAAAAGTCAAAAAACCAACAACTCATACCAAAAAGTCAAATATTTTCTTTTCTCTCTACTTTTTGCACATCTTTTCGTAAAAAGTCAAAAAGTAATCCCAAATATATTAGTTTTTTTTTAGCTCATATTTTAACCAAATAGCCAAAAAATTATTAAATTAGCCTGTTCCCAAACGAGACCTAGTCTACCCTTTCTAAATTGCCCTAGGGTTACTTGAATCTACAAAGGAAAAAAAAGAATACAAAAGAAAAAAGTGGGAGATACTTTTAATATTTTATTAATTCAAATTTCAACAAACTCTATCCTTAGGGTAATGTCATCCCAAACATACTAGTTTTTTTTAACTCATATTTTAACCAAATAGTCAAAAAATTACTAAATTAGCTTGTTCCCAAACGAGACCTAGTCTACCCTTTCTAAATTGCCCTAGGGTTACTTGAATCTACAAAGGAAAAAAAAGAATACAAAAGAAAAAAGTGGGAGATACTTTTAATATTTTATTAATTCAAATTTCAACAAACTCTATCCTTAGGGTAATCCTTTGTATTTATAACATGAGCAAAACAAAGATAAAAGAAAAGACTCTGAAAGTTTTTCCCCACTTGACCATTCAAAGTCCCACAATTCAACTGGAGGTTCAATTTTGGGTGATTTGGACCCATTTTGGGCAATTTCGTGATGTAAATCGTTTTATTTTTTTAAATTTGCCATTTGATTGGATTATATATATTTTAAAAATTGACGATCTAGTATGAAATTATAATTATCATCAATTTTTTAAATATAAATGTAATATGAGCCTACAATAGTGACTAAAAGAAACCTCCTACTTATAATTTATTGAATGGCGATGTACAAAGGTTACACTTAACTTCCTCGTGAAGATGGTTGAAAACAATGGATGCCATGCAAAACAATTGGAATCTTTAGGAGTATGTTAAATATATCTATTTTCAATTCTTAAAATAAAAAATAAAAAATAAAAGCATCTATACTAAGTACCAATTAACAAATTTCTATAAAAATAATTTGAATAAACTAAAATTAAATTTGGTTATTAAGAAATTTGAAGAATAATGTTTTTGAATTTGCTTATAAATTAGTCAATTTTTATTAGGAGAAATTACTTGTCAGTGTTTTTATAAAACTTAATTACAAAATTATGAAAAAATTTATGATTTTATATATTAATGTTTATAAAGAATATCACTAATTTAATTTATTTTTTTTTTACCATTTCTCTGACAAGTAATTTTCTCTTTTTATTAGGGTCATGTCCTCACACCTTGTTTTGAGTGAAGTGTGCCTCTATTTATTGATAAATTTTTTTGTCATAACCAGTACACCACTTTTAAACTATTAATTTTAGCTCGTAATAAGTTGCTCCAAAAACAAGTAAAGAGAATTTTCTTTTTATTTTTTGAGAAGACAAAAATGCACTAATCTCATTTGGAATCAGTTTTTCAACTTTTTAATCATCTTTTGAAATATTTTTACTTGGTTTTAGTTTCAAGGTTTGGTAAAAAGGAAAGCAACAAAAAAAAAAAAAAAAAAAGGAAGAGTCAAAGGCCATCCTAAATTCCTCGAAAAATATATATATTATTACAAAAATAATAAGAAGAAAAAAAAAAGAAAAAAAAAAGGAAGAAGTTAAAAACTCCATTTTTGAGCCCATTCAAACGTGACGTAAGGGGGAGGGGGGGGTTTCCACTCATTATATTTTTTTTCATAAATATATATATTTTCACTTTATATTTTAATTAAAAATTCAAAAATACTTAAACAACCCCCTCCCAAAAAAAAAAAAGGTTTTTGACCTTTTTTTTGTATGTGATATTTGGAATTTACTTCTGCTGGCTTATTTTTCTTACGAAGGAAAATATCATAAATGCAAGCGTGCCAGTAAGGATTGAAAAATTCTTACAGATTAAATTCAAGCCAATTATCAAGCGATTGTGTTGACGGTTCTTTTGCCTCAACGAATAGAACTTCAAAATTGTCAAGTGTAGAGAAAAGAAAAAGTAAAAGAAGAAAGGGGGACGGAGAAAGACGATTAAGTGAACAATCAAAGTAATAATTATTTATCTCTACTCCTATGCTTTGAAAATGAAGTGCATAAAATGTTTTGAAAAGAAAATGCTGAAAATAAATGTTTCGAAATATAAATCTATGTTAAATTACTCATAAGATAAGGAAAATGATAAGAAATATTGAAATCAATTGTCTTTGATTTGAATTCTGGATCTTTTTACAATGTAGCGATGAATGGCTATTTATACGCAAATATTTGTAGGAAAAAACTTCCAGCAATAACTACCTACTCTTCCATCTTCATTCCCACAATGCCATGTCTTCATAATTTCCTTTAACCTCCAATTCATGCTCCATGTTCTCCACTTTATTCTCCATAATCTTTTCACATTTCGTAACTTCTCATAACCTCCAAATGAGTAAAATGATGTCACATGTCCTGCAATTATATAAATAATAAATTATAATAAAAATTGCAAATTTATGGTGCCAACATTACCCCCCGCGACCCTTAGAGAATTTGGGAATAATCTTAACTTCATATAGTCATTATTGGTAAATTTCTCGCGCTGAGCTGTGAACCTAGCAATATGCTCAACTGTTGACTAGTTTCCATTCCCATAAAAAAGGACAAAGTTTGGTTTCCTGAAACCTCTTGGGTTTTCATGTACCTTATCTACCCATTCTGGGTACGGTTTCCTGTACACAGGAGTCTAAACCCTCCGAGTCATTGGTCCACACATCTCTCTAACAATATCAGCAATTTGGTCTCTAAGGACCATATTTTGTGCTTGTTGAACCATTACTGGAGGAACAAACATAGGATTTGGTGGACAACCTTGTGCCTGGGGTCCTCTTGGTCCATAGGGTGGTATGTTTGGGACTGGTTGTCCTCGTGGTGCTGGTTGCTGGCTATTGTTGAGGGTATGAATGACCCCTTTGAGCCTGTCCTGCGAAAGGTACTGGAACAGGTGTTGTGTCTCTTCCAATTGCAGGAAACCCTTCCAACCCCCCGGGTATAAATTCGAACAAAGGATTAGTGAACCCACTCGTACCAGGTATGGCTTCGAACATGGGATTTGGAAACATCCTTATGCCATTTTCTTGTGTTGGACCAGATCCACCAATTTGCATGGTTTCACTGTTGAGTAATAAGGCATTTTGATTTGCCACATGTCTCGAAATAGGCTTATACCAAAACTGAGGTGATGGTCTTTCATGGTTTTAGTTACTAGTTTGACCATTAGTATGTCTATTACTCTGCATAAGCTGTTTATCTCTAGCCAATCTTTGCTGAGGGACATTTTGAATTTTCCTCTATATGTCTTGCATTAGTTGGTTGATGAGTATTCATTCGATCCAAAAAGGATGTTGCCCACCTTTCCATTGTGTTCATAAACTGCTTTCCCATGGCATCTACTAGGTCATCCCATGGATTCATTGGATGAGTAGATGGAACAGTGGATGGTCCAATTCCTTGGCCTCGTCCAATATTATGAACATGTGGTACTTGTTCCGAAGTGTTGGTTTGTTCGACCATAGGTTCTGATAAAATAGGTGCTTCCACAGGATGTGTTATCACATTATCCTCTGGATTAGGCATTTTTACCTCTCCTTCCACGCCTTCTTCCAAACGTTCATTTTCTCATTGTCTCCTACGTCTAGTCATTTCAATTAGTCTCACTAGGCATGCCAAAAATATATGTTGGCTTTTTTGGCTTTCGAAGGTTACTTTTGTAATTGTGAGCGTGCCAGCAAGGATCAATCAGTTCTTACAGAATATTAATTGCCAACCAATTATCAGACGATTGTGTTTTAGTTCTTTCAGCCTCAATAAAGAGGACTTTTACTGGTTGCTTTGTTTAAGAGAATTAAACAAACAATGATTAAATGAAGAACAATTATAGCATTTCATTAAGTAAAATGAAAGACTTACAAAGATCTAAATCAGCCTCGTAGTGATTTACAGCAGCAAGCTACTTGAAAACTACTTCTATGAACGAAATGCAGTGCAGGAATTTAAAGTACATAAATGTAAAGAACAAGAAATATAAAAACTGTAAGGAAAAATAAAGTAGATAAAACTGATTTTTTGGATCTGAGTCTAGGGGTGTTTTCTGAGGCCTTTTATGCTATTTATACTTTTTAGGCCTCGTTTGGGAACAGGCTATTTTAGTAACTTTTTGACTTTTTACGAAAAGATGTGCAGAAAAGTAGAGAGGTGATGTGACAACTTTTAGTAACTTTTTGGCTAAAATAGCCACTTCCCAAACGAGGCCTTAATGACAACCGTCAATGGACTTCTAACCGTCGAACCATCCCTCCGTGATCACTGATTATGCTTCATTGCAGTTAGCTCCATTATGTCATATGCAGTTAGGTTTCTCTTCTGATTTTGAATTTAAATATGTGAGTAACCGTTAAAGCCACGTCATCTTGCATCTCTTTGCTGATTCAGTGTTACGCAGATCTATAATAAACCAATACTGACTGCCACGTGTGTGATTATGATTGAAGATTTGAATTGTCTTTCCGTACCGAACTGTGATTGGCATGTACAAAATATGTAGCCAACAACTTCTATTAATTGATATAAAAAAATTAATTGACATTGATGGGCATAGCCAGGATGGCCAAATCCACGATTGTGTTTGGGTTACCTGAACAATCACTCGGTTGAGGCTGAGCGAACAGGCCCACACACAAACATCAGTTAGGCATAAACATGGGATTTGGAAACATCCTTATGCCATTTTCTTGTGTTGGACCAGATCCACCAATTTGCATGGTTTCACTGTTGAGTAATAAGGCATTTTGATTTGCCACATGTCTCGAAATAGGCTTATACCAAGACTGAGGTGATGGTCTTTCATGGTTTGGTTACTAGTTTGACCATTAGTATGACTATTACTCTGCATAGGCTGTTTATCTCTAGCCAATCTTTGCTGAGGGACATTTGAATTTTCCTCTATATGTCTTGCATTAGTTGGTTGATGAGTATTCATTCGATCCAAAAAGGATGTTGCCCACCTTTCCATTGTGTTCATAAACTGCTTTCCCATGGCATCTACTAGGCCATCCCATGGATTCATTGGATGAGTAGATGGAACAGTGGATGGTCCAATTCCTTGGCCTCGTCCAATATTATGAACATGTGGTACTTGTTCCGAAGTGTTGGTTTGTTCGACCATAGGTTCTGATAAAATAGGTGCTTCCACAGGATGTGTTATCACATTATCCTCTGGATTAGGCATTTTTACCTCTCCTTCCACGCCTTCTTCCAAACGTTCATTTTCTCATTGTCTCCTACGTCTAGTCATTTCAATTAGTCTCACTGGGCATGCCAAAAATATATGTTGGCTTTTTTGGCTTTTGAAGGTTACTTTTGTAATTGTGAGCGTGCCAGCAAGGATCAATCAGTCCTTACAGAATATTAATTGCCAACCAATTATCAGACGATTGTGTTTTAGTTCTTTCAGCCTCAATAAAGAGGACTTTTACTGGTTGCTTTGTTTAAGAGAATTAAGCAAACAATGATTAAATGAAGAACAATTGTAGCATTCCATTAAGTAAAATGAAAGACTTACAAAGATCTAAACCTCGTAGTGGTTTACAGCAGCAAGCTACTTGAAAACTACTTCTATGAATGAAATGCAGTGCAGGAATTTAAAGTACATAAATGTAAATAACAAGAAATATAAAAACTGGAAGGAAAAATAAAGTAGATAAAACTAATTTTTTGGATCTGAGTCTAGGGGTGTTTTCTGAGGCCTTTTCTGCTATTTATACTTCTTAGGCCTCGTTTGGGAACAGGCTATTTTAGTAACTTTTTGACTTTTTACGAAAAGATGTGCAGAAAAGTAGAGAGGTGATGTGACAACTTTTAGTAACTTTTTGGCTAAAATAGCCACTTCCCAAACGAGGCCTTAATGACAACCGTCAATGGACTTCTAACCGTCGAACCATCCCTCCATGATCACTGATTATGCTTCCTTGCAGTTAGCTCCACTATGTCATATGCAGTTAGGCTTCCCTCCTGATTTTGAATTTAAATATGTGAGTATCCGTTAAAGCCACGTCATCTTGCATCTCTTTGCTGATTCAGTGTTACGCAGATCTATAATAAACCAATGCTGACTGCCACGTGTGTGATTATGATTAAAGATTTGAATTGTCTTTCCGTACTGCCCTCATTTTGCCACGTGCCGAACTGTGATTGGCTTGTACAAAATATGTAGCCAACAACTTCTATTAATTGATATAAAAAAATTAATTAACATTGATGGGCATAGCCAGGATGGCCAAATCCACGATTGTGTTTGGGTTACCTGAACAATCACTCGGTTGAGGCTGAGCGAACAGGCCCACACACAAACATCAGTTAGGCATATGTTAGGTAAGGAGTTAGTCACGTGGCATAACAAAGATTTTACAAAGTTATTGCACCTATACACCAAGCATTAAATGAGACTGTCATAACATTTAATGCTACATGACCTCACTCCAGGGCATGGTGAAACCACTTCGACAAGTAGACTATAGACTTTCGGCCAACGAAACAACTAGAAGGGACAAGAAAATGATTAGTAAGTGATATGAGGAAGAACGCTCAAGGGACAAGTAATCTCCCCCCCTCTCTCTCTTTCTCTCTCTATCCTCCTTCCACCTTCTCTTTCTAACTACTATTCCGACCACATTCACCTTTAACTTGTTCGTTGGAAGGTCAACGGGAAAGATCTACTCCCATTTCGGAACCTTCTTACTGGACTTGTTGCAGGTGCAATTTGAAAGACGAATGACAGTAAACCTGTGAAGCATTTGGATCAATTCGACCCATTTTATCCTGATCAAATTGCTTTATCAAACATTATAAATGAAAAAATAAGATAAAATATCACAAATTTAAGAACATGTTTCACCCGAAACCAAGTTTAGATTTCAATGTAATAACAGTGGCAATTCACACGATCAATTAAATGTAATAAAAAAATTTGTTGCATATTAAAATTTGGTGTATATTAAAAATTTGGTGCATATATACTTTATAATTTTTAAAAAATAATATAATTTTAATTTTTTAAGTCATAATTAAAAAAAATATCATAGATAAATACAACATGTAACCTAACTAAAGAATTCATAATTAAAATAATATTATAATTAAAAAAATCAATCATAATTAAAAAAAAATACAACCTATTAAAAAAAGGGTGTATATTAAAAGTTACTTTTCATTAACAAATTTAAATATGAGTTATACTAGAGATTTTAAATAAATTGTTAAATTTTCTATCAAACCCCTAATATAAATATGATCTTTGATAATTTATTTAGAATTATAATATTTTCCATTATAATATTTTCCTTTAAAGATAACCGAGGAGGACAACGAAGGGTTTTCATTGTTTGAAAGAAGAAGGCGTGAAAAGAACTTCCCGCTTCTCGCGTTGGTCTCCTTCTCTCTCTCTCTCTCTCGCGTCGAGTCCTCCATTTCACGACGGTTTCAAATCCATTTCACGACTTAATTAATTTCAAATTACGATTCATTCATTCATTCCCATTCTCTCTTTTCGATTTAGATCGATATCTTGTTCAACCCCCTCTTTCGTTTTCTCCAACTCCGATCTGTAAGTTCTTCCCTTTATTTCTCACATCTTATCTACATTATTATATGTATACAAAATTCCACTCTTGAATCGGATACTATAAGATATATGGATTTGTTTATCTGGGTTCGAGCTGCTTTGCGATTTTGCTTCCAAGTCAAAATTTTCAGAAACCCTTTTGTTTTCTAAATAGTTTCATGATTTAATGTCTTCTCTTCGTTTCCAATGGCTTTAATGAGATTAATTTGGATTTACAATTTACAATTTATGATTTTTTTATTTTCATAAAAAATATTATGTTTGGTTTGAAGTGTGTCGATGTGTACCCATTTGGTTTATTTCAATTTTTTGGATTTATTTTTGGGCAATTTCAAGCGTTATAAGTTAACCCTTTTACCATCATACTTTTATTTATTTGTCTGTGTTATTTAATGTTAAAATGTGTGTGTGTATATATATATATAAGATATTTGGAAAGATTGCTTGAATTTGAATATGGTATGCTCACGTTGTTGTAATGTGTATAACATCTTGAGGGTTTTTTGTGACCATGGTTTTAACTGATTTCTGTTGAAGATATTTATTTATTTTAATCTTTGTCTTCATTCACTCTATTTAGGGAGATCAATTTTATGCAGTAGCTCCTATGGTTTTTGCTATTTATTGAACTCTGTCTGTTGTATTTGTGTGCACCTACTCTTGGTGTAGAGGCTTTAAGCATGACCCTTAGGCTGTGTTTGGTTCATGGATTTGTAAAGTGATTTGGAAGGGAAAGGGAAAAGGTAGGTGAAATGTGAATGAAATATAACTTCATTTTGCCTACGGTTCACACACCTTTTTCCTTCCATGAACCAAACACACCCTTAGTGGATAAGGTATTGCCACTTGTCAGAGATACTCACAGTGATATCACTGGTGAGTCTACTGTTTGTTTTCCTGCAGACGACCATTTCATATTCTTATCTTTTGATGCAATTTAAGCAAGCATGGCATGGAATTTAGCAGTATTTAACCAGTTTGTTTCCTAGTCCAATGATAGATTACGTTTCAAATAAAAGACAAAACTAGAATCCCCACAAGGGTGGTTCTTGTAGAATACCCCAAGCTTTATGAGTTATGACAAAGCACAAAGGGGGTCTGGACGTTGGAGTTCTTGGTCTTTTGTGTGTGCACTGGGGCCATCTTGTTGATCGACAGAAAGCAAAGAACATTACAACGATCCATATGATTTGTTGTCTCCTTTTATCATTTTTCCACACTACTTGCTTTCATTCTCATTAATGAGTAAATCTTTAGTTTTTTAGGTATCAAAGTTACTGTATTAGAAGTTGCCTTCACAATTTGGAGGTTGGAGCAAGCATATGGCTTATACAAAGTCATTTGCCCCAGATATGGATATAGTTCTGTTGGCCAACTCCTTGCACAATTATATCAAATAAGGAATTGGTAAAATATTTGATTGAAAAATTAAATTCATCATACTTTCTGTTAGATTGGTAGTTTGAAATACCATTCTGCCTTTGAACATCTTTGTGAAATGTGGGAAAACATTCCTTTAGATCTGTTACCCATGGTTTATTAATGCTTGAATTTTTTCTATCTTCTGAAATTGGAGTATTAACCCTGATTGGTGTGAGAAAAGAAAAATAAACTAGATGTACTAAATTGGCATGTAGTTTTGTAAACTTTACATGTATTTAAGCTTTTATATGTGAACTTGTTGCAGGCTATCTGAAACTTTTTAAATTTTGACTACGAGAACTGGAAGGTTAAGCATTATTTCAGTGCTAGATTCTAGTTGTGTGTTACCTGAGAGCCATGTTTTAGTGGGTCAGGTTCTGTACTAGATATATTGCTGGCATAATGGAAAAGGAAGACTCTATTGAGACAAAGAGCTTCAATTCTAAAGAGAAAGCAGACACAGCTAATGTTCAGAAGGAAGACCAGGAAAAGGAAGATTCTACTGAGAAAAACTCAGTGATTTCTCCGCCTGATGAAATGAAGGAGGGAAATACACCTCATGGTCAGGAAGGAGATGATGAGAAGAAAAATGTGAATGCTTTGCTTGATAAAAAGGATGGGGACATACCTGATTGTCAGAAAGATGACCAGGAAAAGGAAGACTCTGTTGCGAAAATTATGTTGGATATTTCAACTGCAGAAAATCCAGAGGATAAAGTTGATGTTCAGAAAGAAGATCTAGTGGGACCTGCTAGGGAAATGAAATCATCTAATGTCATTGAGGAAAGTCCCAAGATCGTCAATGCAAGGAGTCTAGACGAATCAAATGACAAGATGGATCAGGGTAAGGAATTGGCTTCTGGAAATGAAGAAGGAACAAATGAATATCTTGAGGAAATTCATGGTGAGAAGGAGGTAGAGCCTGTCTTTGATGGAACGGAGGTTCCTGGGATGGAAGCTAACAGGAGTACATCCACTCGCTCTTTGGACCTCGGTCCAGATAATCTCGGTCCAGATACTCAAGGGTCTATTTGGCCTGAGAAAGCAGTGGCTCTTAAGAACTTTGTCAGGGAGAAGAGTGTTGTTGCTGTTTCGAGTGTTCTGCGTCGCCTTTCAGGAAAAAGTGATGATGGTGGACAGGACATTCCTAATGATGATGGTAAGAACGACAACATTGATAGAAACACTAAGGAAGTTGTCGATTCTACCAAAGAAAGTGAAGCCCAAGAAGCCTCTCAGAAAGCAGGAGAGAAATCTGGATGGAATCCCCTAAGCCTTATTAAGATTTCACGTGATGTTGATGCAGAAAACAAAGCCGAACAGCAGGAAGAGCTAATTGAAGAATCATTGCCACTACCCATGAAGGGAAGAATCATATTGTATACAAGGCTAGGATGCCAGGACTGCAGAGAAGCTAGGGTGTTTCTACATAGGAGAAAACTCGGATACTTTGAGATTAACATTGATGTGTATCCCAGCAGAAAGCTGGAGCTTGAGAAGATTGCTGGGTCTTCTGCTGTTCCTAGAGTGTTTTTCAATGAAATCCTTATTGGAGGATTGAGTGAGATAAAGGGTTTGGAGGAGGCTGGCAAACTTGATGAGAAGATTGAGTATGTAATTGCAGAAGTGCCTGCATTTGAAGCTCCTTTACCACCACTTTCTGGTGAGGATGATATGTCCACTTCTGGGGCGATTGATGAGCTAGCTGTCATAGTCCGCAAAATGAAAGAATCTGTTCCTCTCAAGGACAGATTTTACAAAATGCGCAGGTTCACCAATTGTTTTGTTGGCTCTGAAGCTGTGGATTTCTTGTCAGAGGATCAGTACTTGGAAAGGGAAGAGGTTAGTTGCATGTGCATTTTCAATCTTTCTGAATAGATGGTTACTTTATGTGGTTGGTGGTTCACGGCCTGTGTAGTCCTAAGCATCTCATATGCACAGGTTAGAGCACATGTATCATGAATGCAAGACAGGGCCAATCTCCATTAATTGGTGATTTAAAAGACTCTGGATGTCTTAACTTTAAGCTTTCTGCTGAATTGCATGAATTAGTTCCATTTTGGAGTGGTTCAGCTTTATTTCAAAGTTGAAAACAGATTTGCTTAATTTTTGATTCGTTTTGAAGTAAAAATTTCCCAAAATTAGAATATGTATTACAAGTGTTCATGGTTTTGAGCTATGGTTTGATTTGAGTATCATTCACTCTAGGAGTTATGTAAGTTCTGGAATTCTGCAAATTTCAGACCATAGTCACCTATGTGTTTTATGAAAGTGAAGTCCTTGGCCAGGATAATGCCACTGAGTGGGTGATGAGATTGTAGATCCCACAGAACTCATGCTTGATGTGCATGGCCATCTCTATTTGCAATCCATCTGTTAGCTACTGTATATTTGGTCCACATAATTCTGGAGAACAGTCTCCTTTGGTCATCTTGTGCTGCTTGATTGGTGAAAACATTGTATTTGAATTTTTCTGTCTGGTATGCAACTTCATTTTATATAGTAGATGAGGTTTCTAGCTCTTACTGTTTGTAGATTCTGTGACAACTGAACACATATGGGGTTTTAAAGGCTTTTCTACAGGGACTGCAGTCTGATTTATCTTTTGTTACTTTGCCTTTGGTCCTACTTTAGAAAATTATGGAATTTCCCTTTAATTTTTTTGGGTTTATCATTTATGTATTCCCAATTGTGCCAAAGAACTTTTGGAGAGTGATGAATTCCTTTTTTTTTTTTTTTTTTTTTTTTAAAGCTAAGTCATACCAAAGAAACCTTGATTAGTTTTGATCATTGAGACAATGCCACAATTACTTCAGATTGTTGATCACAGAGAGAGTTTTATGTTCCCTTTGTCCTAAAGCTATAGCCTATAGTTCACTTTGGGAAAGAACAATGTTAATCGATGTTAAATGTAATTGGCTAATTGTTTATTGAGACCATCTTAGTATTCCATTTTTGCCATTTAGTATTATTATTTTTCTGCCTTATCATTGCTGACCATTTTTCTATCTGTTCCTGTGTTGCAAATAGGCTACAGAATTTGGTCGAAACCTTGCAAGCAAACTCTTCTTCCAGCATGTTCTTGAGTGAGTAACTAAACTCAACTTTTTTAATGTGTTAATCTCTGTCTCTCTCTCTCTCTCACACACACACACACACACAAACAAACACACTGATTTCATATTTCTTATAGAAATTTATATTTTTCATTATCTGTGCTGGTTTTACATTGCTTTAGCGAGAACTTATTTGAAGATGGCAATCACTTGTACCGCTTCTTGGATCATGATCCTATTGTGATGTCTCAGTGTCACAACATTCCAAGGGGTATAACAGAAGTAAAGCCAAAGCCGATAATAGAAATTTCATCAAGGCTTAGATTTTTGTCTTATGCAATCTTTGAAGCTTATGCATCGGAAGATGGAAAACATGTTGATTACAGAAGTATCCATGGGAGTGAGGAATTTGCAAGGTTTGTGGGAACCTTTGATTTATATGGATAAACTTGTTGTGGTATTTTAATTAACTTGTATGCTTTTATGAACATGGATGTATATTCAAGAACTTGTGGCCATTGAATTAAAAAATCTTTTGTAGGTATTTAAGAATAGTTGAGGAGCTTCAAAGAGTAGATCTATATGCATCGGAAGATGGAAAACACGTTGATTACAGAAGTATCCATGGGAGTGAGGAATTTGCAAGGTTTGTGGGAACCTTGGATTTATATGGATAAACTTATTGTGGTATTTTAATTAACTTGTATGCTTTTATGAACATGGATGTATATTCAAGAACTTGTGGCCATTGAATTAAAAAATCTTTTGTAGGTATTTAAGAATAGTTGAGGAGCTTCAAAGAGTAGATCTACAGGATATGGCAAGGGAGGAGAAGATGGCTTTTTTTATAAATCTCTTCAATATGATGGCCATTCACGCAATTTTGGTTTGGGGTCATCCTACTGGAGCTCTAGAGCGTAGGAAACTGATGGGGGATTTTAAGTATGTTATTGGTGGGTGCACCTATTCGCTTTCAGCAATTCAAAATGGCATATTAAGGGCCAATCAGAGACCCCCATACAATCTTACTAAACCATTTGGTGTGAAAGATAAACGTTTTAAGGTGAGACGGTCACACTACCTTGCCTGATTATTGATGTCTATCCCAGGGATGAAACTATTCTTTGGTGTAAACTATTATACTTTCTTTTTTTGGTGCACTTGAAGGTGAGTTATTTATTGTAGGGATGACTCTTTCTCTCTCTGAGAGTGGGGGAATTGAAACCATGCTTGCTTAATATTATAAGTGCCCAGCTGTATATGACCAAAGTATAGGTGATTCTTGCTAGACTTATGAGGGGCAGAGTTGACAAAATTTTATCTACCAATGTTGAATTAATGTGTGTTGATTGGCTGTTCTTTAGAACTCATGTTTTGTTTTTTTGTTAAGCTTCTCTTTTTTCTTGGATCAGGTTGCTCTTCCTTACCCAGAGCCCCTTATCCACTTTGCATTAGTCTGTGGAAACCGATCTGAGCCAGCCCTTAGATGCTACTCACCTGGGAACGTTGATAAAGAATTAGTGGAGGCGGCTTGTAATTTCTTAAGAAATGGAGGACTCACGGTAGATCTGAATACAAAGGTTGCGTCAGTCAGTAAGATACTGAAATGGTAGGTTTTTCTAGGAATGTGTTCATTGAACTGTTTCTTTTAAGTTAGGTGCCAAATGTATGAAAGAATCATGCTAGCCACTCTGGTCTAAAAGCATTATTGGTAACTCCCATGTAAAAGATCTTATAAGCTTTTTAACCTTGTATAAGTTAACAAACCTTACCAGTCACCAGAATTCAAGATGAAGTTGAACTTGTAAAAATCACATTTCTATGATTGAAGATATGGTTTTGAACTTTTTTTTTGGATTAATTGGATACTTCGGCAGTGATAATTATGGTAAAGTTATGCTAAGTCTAGAAGATAAAGACTCACAACACGGTGGTGTTGGTAAACCCATGTTTTGCATCTATGCTGAAAAGAGGACTATATACGTTCGTTATTTATCAATTTAGCTTCTAACTTCTGTTGTCTTTTGCTATTTCCTTCATGAACACTCAGGTACAGTATTGATTTTGGGAAGAACGAGGTAGGGGTCCTGAAGCACGCAGCAAACTACCTGGAGCCAGTTGAGTCTGAAGCTTTGCTGGAGTTGCTTGCCACGACTCAGTTGAAGGTGGTATATCAGCCTTATGATTGGGGTCTGAACTATTAGCAGTCGGTTTCAACTTTACTATTAGAGCATCATATAACTTTATACATCTTCCCTTGCTTTAGAAGAAAACCCACATGAACAAATAGTGATAATGGTGTAAATGTACTTATTTTCATTCCACCTATATAGTCCTTGTAAGGGCCAAGTGATTTTGATCACAGATGACTTGGTTTTAGTGGTAATTTTACATGTAATTTCTTTTTGGTTAGTGGGCTTTAACACTAAAGGAAATGTTAAGTTGTTACATTCATATTCATTTTTGCCATGGGCTTCGTGCACCTGGTTCTGTTTCCTGCAATGTGAAATATCATTTTATCTTTTGTTCAAAGCATTCTGACCCTCTTGCAGACCTCGCAGTGGCGGGTGGTTCGTTCTGGGATCTTCATAACTAAAATGGAATGATTTAGGCCAAGTTTGGCATCCTCCAAAAAATCCAAAAAGTCAAAAAGTCACTATTCTATTTAAGTCACATCATTTTATTTAAGTCACATCACCTCTCTAACACATACCTTCAAACCCAACCCAAATTCAACCCATATTTCATAAAAAGTCAAAAAGTGCACTTATTTAGTCTTCCCAAACTTGGCCTTAGTATGTTGAAGTATATTGTATTATTTTAGCTGGGCGATGGAACATGGGTAGTTCACATACTGTAAATGTTCTCAGCTGTAAGCAGTTGTTCTGTGACTTTTGATGGCTCTGAATGCAGTTTTGTGCTGTTATGGAGCAGATCACCATCCCACTGTTTTGAGCTGTCATGCATTTAAAGAGTATTAAAGTTAAATGCAAACTGGCATTATATATATATTTTTTCAATTTGGTTTTGTTAATTGCGATTAATCAAGTTCTGGACTTTGCGGAATTGGAAGGCAATGCTCAACTTAAACTTATAGCAACCTCTTTATTTTTTATTTTTTGTTTTAAACTTATAGCAACTTAAATAAGCTGATTTTCAGAATCAGCTCCAAGGGTACTTCTGAATCTCAGCTTACAAGGAGGGTGATTCTATTTGGGCCCTATGAGATTGGTTGGACATCCTAACTTTATGAAATATTTTTATTACTATTCGTGTTTGATTTCAGTTTTCTGAATTCAACTTTTTAGAAATTGAGTTTTTTATTTTTCGTATTTTTTTTTTTTATTTTTAGTGAATATTTTTAAAATTTTAAGCAATTGTTTTACTTTTTTAAATATATCTTACTTAGATGTATTTAAATAATAAAATATTTGTGAATTTTTTTTAAAAAAATTAATAAATACCCAAAAATACAAAAAAAATGTATTGAATTTTTGTATTTTTTTTTTGATATTTTTGGTATTTAGTGAATTTTTTAAAGATTTTTTTTCATAAATATTATATTTTTTAAAGTGTATTTATGTTAGGTGTGTCTAAAAATTAAAAAAAATTGTTTAAAATATTAAAAAAATTTAGTGAAAACAAAAAAATACGGAAAACGAAAAAGTAAATTTTTTGAAAAGTAAATTCTAAAATTAAAAATCAAACAGAGTGATTATATTCCTACTTAGGCCTCGTTTGGCAAGAGGCTATTTTAGCCAATTAGTCAAAAAGTTACTAAATTAGCCAAAAAGTCAACAACCCATACCAAAAAGTCAAAGATTCTCTTTTCTCTCTACTTTTTGCACATCTTTTCGTAATTAGCCAAAAAGTCATCCCAAACATACAAGTTTTTTTTACCTACCTTTTTAGCCAAATAGCCAAAAAATTACTAAATTAGCCTGTTCCCAAACGAGGCCTTAAAATGACTAAAAAGTATTTGATATTAAAAAAAAAGAAGTATAAATTATAATGTTTTGGATACCACATCTCATAATCAATCTCAATCTTTCATTCTCTCCTTTTTTTCTCACTCTTTTCACTTTGTATTTTCATATTTAATCTTATTTTCCTTGAATTCATCATTTTTACATTTTTATTTCATATTAAAGTCAATAATGAATACTAAAGAAGACATTTTCAAACTATTTTTATTTTTTATAGAGAATGTAGATTTTCTGTTCATCTTCATCGTTTTTGGTCAATAAGTTTATGGAATTTGTATGGAAATTCAGTACCCCGAATAAATTACATTTATTCAAAAACTTGTTTCCAAAGAGATTTCATATATTCGACACTATGTATCCGAATTATTTGACATTGTTCAATAGTTACTATTTGAACAAATTGTTTATGTTCGGCTCTATGTTTCTAGACATTTAATTTTTAAAACTTCTTTATATTCTAATTTCAAACAAAAAGAATTATTCGGTATTATATCTTCAAACAATTACATATGTTTGGAAATTTATTTCCAAATAAATCTAATGTTGTTTGGTATTGAGTATCTGAAAAAAAAAAAAGTATTTGTCTATGTATTTCCATTCCTTTACACCTCGTTTGAATTAAATGATTTGCAGAGAAACGAAAAGAAATTAATTTTTCTGGATGATAATCACATGTTTGGATTACTAAACATAAGAGATGAAGAGAAATGGAGAGAATTTTCTCTCATAACTCACTTTTTGAATCTCTCCAATATTTGGAAAGATTAGAAAAAAAAAGAATGGGATCATTTTTTATAGTCTTATTTTTAAATGTTATGTTCCATTTAACCCTCCCCCCCTTTTTTTTAAATATTTCATTAGTTCCGATTTAAGGTAATATGGCCAAATCACCATTGCAAACTTTTTGGGTGTGTTTTCATTTTAAAACCAATATGCAATAACAAATAATAATAGTCTCTCATTTTATAGAGAAAATTTATTTCATTCTAGGGAGAAAATCTCTCCCTCATTTCATGGAGAAAATCTCTTATTTATTCTATGAAAAAAAAATATCTTCCTCATTCTAAGGAGAAAATCTCTCACATTCCCAAAATCCTAAATCGACTACCTTACTCTGATGTAAAGAAGCAATGTTGTGATCATTCACTTTGATCGAAGTGTAGATACTGTGAGCATCTACATTGCTGGTGGTTGATTATATTTGTATACACATAACAATTGGCTTAATATATGTTTAATTGGGGAAAAAATGAAACATGTGCAATAATAAAAGAAAGAAAATTTTTAGTTCATAGTACATATAGATTTTCTTTCCTCCAAATTTGTTACCCCACAAACACAACTGAGTAAATCCCATATGTACCACTACATTGTAAGTATCTGGTTATTGATTATGCACATTTTAATGGCTTGAATTTTTTTGTAAAGAGGTGGTGGTTTGGCATTGTTAAATTTCATTTTAATTCATATGTGAGGATCTCGTCCTATTTGGAAGCAATCCAAGTTTGTGTTAAACAATAATATTGTTCTAGTTAGTTCATAGAATTGTAAGTATCTGGTTATTGATTATGCACATTTTAATGGCTTGAATTTTTTTGTAAAGAGGTGGTGGTTTGTTGTGGGTGTTAGGGTTTTTTAGGTTTTGAGTGTAAGGAGAAAGGTTAGGGATAAAGGTAATACATGAATTATAGAAATTATAAAATAAAAACATAAAAAAAAAGAGTGTAAGGAGTTAAATTGGTGGAGTAAGTAGAATTTCCCATTTTAGAATGAAGTATTCAAGGATGCCTCTATTTACATACCATATTTTGTCTCAAGGCACACAATTAATTGGTTATTTTTTATTACAATAGTCACATTACCTAAAATGATCAAAATGACCACAAAAGAATATCAATACACACCTTAGTTGAATACACAACATTCAAACCCTAACCCTAGCCACCATTGTTGCAGCCGTTACCATTTCACCACCGCTGCCTCGTCGCCCCTCTCTAGCTCCGGCGAATCCCCATCACTACAAACCCTCGCCGGTGTCACGACCCGAACCCGCCCCCATGGGTTAAGGACGTAACCGGCCAGTAATCCTAAGATTACCTACGGCCTCAGACCAAAACAGACTTAAGACATCAGAGTAAAGGGGCCAAAAAGGGAAGCAAAATTAAAACTTTGTCCATAGAGCCGTGCTTATATGCAATCAAACAAACCATACTCGGATACGTTAATAACCCACATCGAAAGTACAGTTTTACAAAGTTCATTACAGACAGGATCATCCAAAACGAGTCAACCTATATCAGACTATGTACAGACATACACTAGGCCCTTGCCAACAAAACAAAACATAAGTACATACTAGAAGGGCAAGGATGGCCTCATGTGTGAGGCCCAAGGCTGACTCCCCCAAAACTCGTGTTGTTCCTAGCAGACTTCACTGGGGCTGGGTTTGAACTTCCCTTGGCTCACCTACAAACACATGAATGAGCGTGAGCGATAGCCCAGTGAATAATATCAAATACAAAAGTCATATAAACAATATGTAGAACAATATACTCCAAACGGCCTTGGGCCCAATTCATATTCCTACTTAACATATGTACATTTATACAAAGTTCAGATCAAGTGACTGTAGTTCTAAACAGATTGGCCTTTGGCCCATTCTGATTTCCATCTACGTCAAAACGGCCTTCGGCCCATTCATTCATGTCAAAACGGCCTTCGGCCCATTCATTCATGTCAAAACGGCCTTCGGCCCATTCATTCATGTCAAAACGGCCTTCGGCCCATTCATTCATGTCAAAACGGCCTTCGGCCCATTCATTCATGTCAAAACGGCCTTCGGCCCATTCATTCATGTCAAAACGGCCTTCGGCCCATTCATTCATGTCAAAACGGCCTTCGGCCCATTCATTTATATCAAAACGGCCTTCGGCCCATTCATTTATATCAAAACGGCCTTCGGCCCATTCATTTATATCAAAACGGCCTTCGGCCCATTCATTTATATCAAAACGGCCTTCGGCCCATTCATTTATATCAAAACGGCCTTCGGCCCATTCATTTATATCAAAACGGCCTTCGGCCCATTCATTTATATCAAAACGGCCTTCGGCCCATTCATTTATATCAAAACGGCCTTCGGCCCATTCATTTATATCAAAACGGCCTTCGGCCCATTCATTTATATCAAAACGGCCTTCGGCCCATTCATTTATATCAAAACGGCCTTCGGCCCATTCATTTATATCAAAACGGCCTTCGGCCCATTCATTTATATCAAAACGGCCTTCGGCCCATTCATTTATATCAAAACGGCCTTCGGCCCATTCATTTATATCAAAACGGCCTTCGGCCCATTCATTTATATCAAAACGGCCTTCGGCCCATTCATTTATATCAAAACGGCCTTCGGCCCATTCATTTATATCAAAACGGCCTTCGGCCCATTCATTTATATCAAAACGGCCTTCGGCCCATTCATTTATATCAAAACGGCCTTCGGCCCATTCATTTATATCAAAACGGCCTTCGGCCCATTCATTTATATCAAAACGGCCTTCGGCCCATTCATTTATATCAAAACGGCCTTCGGCCCATTCATTTATATCAAAACGGCCTTCGGCCCATTCATTTATATCAAAACGGCCTTCGGCCCATTCATTTATATCAAAACGGCCTTTGGCCCATTCATTTATATCAAAACGGCCTTCGGCCCACTCATTCATGTCAAAACAA